CCCACGCGCCTTTCGGAAGTGGGCCGCGGCGGCAGGGGCCGGCTGGGGCGGGCAGGGCTGGGGCGGGAGCAGTGCGAGGGTCTCTGGAGAGCCGGTCCTGGGCGCAGGGTCCAGGACCCCGCGCGCTCCCCGCGCGGCAGCCAGCACTGGGGGAGCGCGAGGGGATCGCGCGGGGTGTGTGCTGGGGCCAGCGGGGAGGCCCGGTCGGGGAGGTCCGGTCGGAAGGAGACCAGCGCTGCCCCCTGAGTCCTCACCACCCGCCGCCTGCGGGCCCAGGGTGACCCTGGCGAGGCCTAGTAAGGCTGCGCCAACCTCTGGCGGCTGCCCAGGAATCGAAGTCTCCGCAGTTCTTGGTGGAGATACTTGCTTAGAACAACCTTCTCCTCCGCCCCCACCCGCCGACCTGGGTCCGGCCCCAATTCTGGAATCCGAGCCGAGGCGGTGAGGCCTTGCCCCTCCCAGGCAGGTGGATATTTCTGGAACGAACACAGAGGCTCTGGGGCTGTCAGGTCGGAAACTCTTCGTGCCACGCCTCTAGCACTTCACTGCTCGACTTCTGTGAGATCGAAAGAGGTGCCAGGAAAACACTGAGGACAAAAAGTTCTCCCTATGGATACTGCGAAGTCTCAAAAATATCCGGGGGGACGGTCAGCCATCTGGAAGCTGTGGAGGGCTGGGTTAGAGTGTCCTCAGGCCTGTCTCAGGAAGTGCCCTGGCTCTCCAGAGAAGGAGCTACCTGTGGTAGCCTCCCAAGCAGCTCTCACCAGGCCCTACCTTCCCCCTCCCAAGGTGCAGCAGTCTCTCTTGCTGCAGGGCTTTTGTGCCCTCAGGAAGGAAGTTGGGGGTTCAACCTTGTCAGGGCCCCTGGTCAACATGGCACCCCTTCTCCATGTGACAAGGATTGAATGAAAGAACTTTAGGACTTGCTGCCTATCATGGACTCTCAATAAATGCCAACATGGACTTCCTTCATTTTTGCTTCTGTCATATCAGAGCCCCTGCTCCCCAACTGCTGTGCCTTAGGGACCAAGGCTGGAATGCAGACTGGGACCCTCTCCTGCCTGGTGCCTTCCAGGATGCCATGCAACGGAAGGCGAAAGGGGTCTGTTTGCTATCACAGGGTTGTTCTTCACTCATCTGAAGCTCAGTGCATCCCCCCTCCCCTCCCTCCTCTGCTCGCCCATCATGCAAAGGGAGGTGAGGGCCTGGGACAGGGCTACTGCCCTTTCCCGTAAGGGAGAGACCAGGGGAGAGACCGGCCACCATAGCATCTTTGGGGCCCTTTCTGTTCTGCAGCACTATCTCCTGGAGGTCTCACCCATGCCTGGCACCCACATTTTACTCCAGCCTGACCTTCTGTTCTCTGCCCCCTCCCCTCCCTGAAAGCCACTTAGCCATCCAGTCACAACTTAACCTTCCCTTGTTCTCAGAGCAGCTCTGGAGTCCCTGCACAGCTCCTCCCCCAGATTCTCTGTTCTGCAAGCAGCACTGTCCATCCCCCAAGCACCCAGGAGTTGTCCTTGATTCTTGTCTTCCTCACTCCCACATCCACCAGACACCAGGAACCCAGCTGCCTCTCACCACCTCTGTGGTTTCATCCTGGTTACCTCTGTTATGTCTCTGCTGTGGTCCCCACACTGGTCTCCCTGCTTCCATTCTGTCCCCTCCAGGACCAGTTTCCTCATAAACCTTAGAGAGGTCTTCAACACAAATCCTCTCCTTTCCCTGCTCAGCACCTTCCAGGGGCTCCCCATTTCACTCCCTGTAAAATTCAGAGGCCCCCCCCTGGCCATAATTTCTACCCACCCCCTTAGATTTCAGCATCTGGACCACCCAGTCTGCTTTCTGTTCTTCAGAAATGTCAAACTCATTTCCAACTCAGGACTGCTCAGTTGCTGTGCCTCCTGCCCAGAGACCAATCTCACAGAAGAGACCAGCTCAGCCCAGACACCCCCACTTCAGAAGGCTCTCCTGACTGCCCCTGTTCAAGTAGCATGCACACCCCCTCCAGGGCCTAGCTCATCACCCTGCTTTCTTTTCTTTACCACCTTTATTATTGTGTGCAATTCTTGTGTGTGTGTGTGTGTGTGTGTATATATATATATATATATATATAAATCACTAATATATGTATTATTGATTTGTTAGAATAGCAGTTGGATAGTAGCAGAGATGTTGTCTGTTACTCCCTGCAGTCTTCCCCATGAGAGAGGCAAATAGCAAACAAAGCCCCCTAGATGCCCAAATGTGATAAGTGCTACATAAGCAACTGGCAGAGATAGTTTGTATTTTAGGCACTTTAAAATTTCAAGCTTGTAGGCCCTCCTTGGTGGCGCAGAGGGTTAAAGCACTGAGAAGCTAAAGCCATTTCAGCATAAGTTCGATCCCTGCCCCTGAGGTGACCACATGGCGCGGCAGACCTCTCCTGACCCGCCCGCTGCTCCCCTCAGCAGTGTACTTCATTGATCTGCCTGTTCTGCTCCCCACTCTGTCTCTGGTGAAGCCTCTCACCACCCCTGCACCTCTGGCCTGTACCCCAGTTCTGTATGCAAAATAAGTAAATCTTTAAAAAAAAAAATTCAAGCTCATGAAGCTGAACCAGCCCTCTGAGTCCTTTTAGGGGTGAGGACAAGCCTAGAGAAAAGGTTGCTAACTTGTCACATAGTAAGTAGAACTCAGCTTCCCCCTAAGAACAGTGGGTAGCAGGCTTGCCTGGTGGGCTGGCCCCGACGCAGAGCCGGAGGGCCTGAGTTCCTGGCTCTTCAGCTAGCAAGCCCCTGGGTTTCTTGGTATTTCTCCATCTTTGCAGTAGAGTGAGCTTACTGGGCTGACTGCACCTCCTCTTTTCCCCATTGTACCCAGCAGCTAGCAGCCCTAAGGGGGCCCTCTTGCTGTCAGTGACCAGCGGTGCCTACCGATCTGGGAGGGATGTGGGCAGCCAGAGCCTCCCAACACCAGACCAGCCTGCGGGGCAGAAGTGCACCCTAAACCTTCTCAGTCTGGTTTTAGTCCTCCATCCATTTTATTTTTTTAAGTAAAAGTTTTGAAACTTCTCAATTCAACTTGTCAACAGAAGTATTCAGGTAATTTGCTCTGAAGAAGGCACAGGTTTTCTAGTTCCCCAGAATGTTTATTTTTTCTACCAGTTCGTTTTCTAAAAAAGATTTATTTATTTACTTATGCATACAGAACTGGGGTGCAGGGGAGGTGAGAGACAGATTCACCAGAGACAGAGTCGGGGGGCAGAACAAGCAGATGGACAAAGTACACTGCTGAGGAGCAGAACAGGCAGATGGATGAAGTACACTGCAGAGGGGAGCAGTGGGCTGGCCAGGAGAGGGCTGCCTCGCCTTGAGGGTCACCTCCTGGATCACCTGCTTGAGGGTCACTTCCTGGATCACCTCCAGGGCCCGGATTCACCTGGCCCTGAAGAGGCTGCAGCTCGCTTGCTTGCTGTGCTGTGCTTTAACCTCTTGCGCCACCAGGGAGGGCTCTCACCAGTTCATTTTAAAGCAAATTCATTGGAGGGCCTCTGAGGCTCAGGCAGTCACAAAACAGGGTGTTTAAAAGGAGTAAGAAAAACTGCCAGCATTCCGAAGAGCCAGAGCCAGAGCCGAGGGAGGAGCCCGAGGCCAGCGCCACTCCCCCGCCCCGTTACCACGCGTGATCTGTTCTTTCTGTCTTTTTTCCTCACTGTCCATCCACCCTTCATGGGTCCCATCAGGGCCTGGACTGACAGCTATGACGTTTGCAGAGGAGAAGACTTATCAGTATATCCGCCGCTATCACAACAACTTTTGCAGTATCCATGTTCTGGAGATTCTGCCTTACCTGTACTGCCTCACGACAAGTGACCAGGTGAGCCAGGCCGCCACACGCTAGCCTCTGAGTGGGGCAGGGCTGTGCTTTCAGAGCCCCTCCCCCCTTCCTTTTGTGTCCTGCTAGCTGCTCTGGCGGACTTCTCTTCTTCCCAGCAAGGCGTTTCAGGGTGACTCTTCCAACTTCCATGAGCTCCCTCTTGCATCTTCTCAGTGTAGCGCCTGAAAACACGGGTGGCTGAGATCTCTGGGCTTGGCCCTCTCTCTCACTGTTACCAGAATGTTCTTTTTCGTGGTCTTTCTTGTCCTGGTTCCTGCTCTTTTCTCCTGTTTGTGGTGCCCTGTCCTGCAACAAAGCTCAGGGCCCCGTTTTGAGAGTTCTTGGGAGCCCTAGCCCACTTGCTCTGCCCTTAGAGAAGTGGGCCAGACCCCTCCCGGTTTTAGCTGCTCTCAGACGGAGATCACAGCTCTCTGCTCTTCCAACAGATGCTGTAGGTCCTCGGATCTGTGGCTCATGGGGTCTGGCCCCTTCCTCTCTTCCCTTGGAGTTTGTGGGGACACCTTGTCACCTAGTTTCTACAGGTTTCCGTTTCTGCTCTCTCTCGCCCTCTTTATAGATGGAAATCCAGGCAAGCGCAAAGGTTCTACAGCTGCTGTCATCATCTCAGAATCTCTGCAGTATCCTCATCTTCCCTGTAGCTTACTGGTGCTCTCCTCTCTTTTCATCCCTTGCTTCATATTTTTACTACAAATCTTTTCCTCCTCTGCTAATTCAAACCCTTTTTTTTGTACCACTTGGGCATCAGATGAGCTGGGTATGGATTCCCATCCCATGGCAGCAGGTTCTTTGCTATCTCACTTCCACTATGCCTCAGGTTCTTCTCAGTAATAAGAGTAATAGCATTAAACAAGATAAGCCATGCAAAGGCCTGAGCGGAGGCTTGGGGCATAGTAGGAGTCCTCTGCCTTTAAACTTGGGCCAAACCCTGGCCTCTGACCCAGTTTCAGATGATTGGCTTCCTCTTGTGACTTTGTCACGTCCTTACTGCAGCTGTCCCCTCCTGAGTGGGGCAGGGGTCAGAGCTACCTGGCTTGAACAGGGCGGTGACTGTATCTTCCAGGACAGACTGCGGGCCTATTTCAATCAGTGGGGCAACCACAACACCCTCTGGGAACTCTTCCATAGTCTTCAGCGGCGGCAAGGCTGGGTCGATTCCTTCATTGCGGCACTGAGGAGCTGTGAGAAGACGGAGCTCGCTGAGGAAGTGGCCAGTGTCTACCAGAGCTATCTACCCAGTGAGCCCCTGTCCTGACCCTCCTCGCAACTGTCCCCTCATCCCTGCACCCCTAATGTTCTCTGTCACCCTCCCTCCCATCACTTCAGGGGAGGGAGCAAAGCTGGGTGTAGCTCTGAGCCTCAGTCTTCCCTGCAAAAGGGGCTTCATGGCAACATCTAGCCCGGGTGGGTACCATGGGCGGTGGCTTAGTTGGGCTGGGCATGTGCTCGCAGATAGAGCCTCCCCAAGTTTTTGTGGCTGTAACATCAATACCCACCCTTTCTCATTTCCTCCTGTCTCCTCTTCCTCAGTTCCCCTCCCCCTCTCCACCCATGTGGCCTCTGTCCCTCTCTTCAGTATCTTCTTTTCCTCCCTCATAGGCTCTTTCCTTCTTCCCCTCACACCTCCCCCTCCCCTGGCTCCCCCTGGGGCCTTCCTCAGCCCACTCCAACTTCCCAGTTTCTCCTCCTGAATACTCCCTGCCAATGGCATCCCCGGCAGGTTCTAGGGGCTGAGACAGGAAGAAAACTCAGGTCAACCAATTTCTATTTCAAAGATGAGAGGGAACTCCTGAGGCCCTGCTCAGATTTACAACCCTAGCAGATTCCCGTGTTTCCTCTCTTACACTTTTCTTCACGGGGGGGAGGGGGGGGGGTTGTCATTACCTCAGAGACCCTGAGTACAGAGAGGCCAGGCGGCTGGGGGGAGCTGGGAGGCAGCATCAGGTCGAGCGCCCACCCTGGAGGAGGAGGGGAAGTCAAGCCAGCTGGGCCCAGGGTGCCTGGGGGTGGAGGAGTAGTGACTCCTGACCCAGTCTGGGTGAAAGGCCCATGGGCGCTCACATGCTCCTCTTCCCCTCTCACTCCTCCCACCTCCCCTTACTTCCCCTCCCCCTACTCTAAACACTAAACTCTAAACACTAAAGAGTGAGCTGGCTGCTGGCTCTCTAGTCTCCTCTAAGGAGCCTCCCACATCACAACAACTTTTGGAGTTGTGGGCAGCCATAACCGAGCACCTGGGGGCCAAGAGCTGGGGTCTGTCCTGTTAAGGGAGCACCCAGGAACAGGACCAATAACCTGATCCTCCTTGAAACCCCTATCTTTGACCTCACCCCAGCCCCAAAGGAGCCAGCATCACTTCCTGCCGCGGTTCCAGGGTCCTCTACAACCTCTGAGACTCCCAGCACTGCCCGCAATGGCTACAGAGGAGAGTTAAAGGCCTCCGTTCCTGTCCAGGACTCCCAGTCACTACTCCTGGGAGAGGTACCTCCTCACAGTCTACCTGGGGCCCTACGGTTTGGCTCTGTCTGTCCATCTATGTGGTCCATCTTCCAGAAGCCTTCTCGTGCTCCCCCTCCCAAATCTTGCCTAAGCTCTGCTCAGAAGCCCAGGTCTTCTCCAATGGGGATCTGGCCCAGCCCAGCCTAGATGGCCAGGCAGGGCTTCACTCTGTGGTCACCTCCCAGACCTGTCGTGAGCCAGCTGTGAGATGTTGAGCTTAGTGGGGGGGCTAGGGAATGAACAGACAAGGTCATTGGGGGTGTGAGGGCACAGGAGGGGAGGAGCTGCAGTTATTGCCAGTAAAATCAAGTTCAGGGGAAAGATGAGTGATTATTTTGGGATGTGAGTGGGCAGTGGGGTGTCCAGGAAATACTGTACTGTGGACCTAAAGCCCAAGAAAGAGGTGTGTGCAGTGTCACGGAGAGGGAAAACTTTCTGCAGAGCCAGAGAGAGGGATAGAACTCCCCACGTGTGTGTTTTCCATGAGGTGAGTTGCTGGTCACCTCACCTATAGAGAGATATAGTCTGACTGACCAAAGCTCAGGCAAGCACTTCCTTGGTGCTTGTGCTTCATGGTCTGGCCCGAGGCCTGTCTGCTACCCTTTGCCACTCCTGGGAGATGTGATTGTCTCGTTCAAGTTTTCCCTTTTACAGGATCCAAAGACAGCCTCACAGACAGCCAGCTCTGGAACTGATTTTGGGAAGTCAGGCGACCCCAAGGAGCCCTCCTCTGACATGGCGGCCCGCAGACCTCTGACTTCTAGTGGACACCAGGAGCAGGACACAGAGCCAAGCAGCACCCACACAGCAGGTGTGCACGTAATCCAGAGCTCCAGGGCCTCCCTCACCAACCAGGGAGAGTGTTGCCCCTCTGGCTTCCTTAACAGGAAGCAAGAGTGGGGATAAAGGGCATTCACCCCAGGGAGTGACTCAGCTTCTTAGAGGGTGTATCAGTTAGCATTTGCTGTGTAACAAACAGCCCCACAGTCAGTAGCTTAAAGTTTGACCATTTATTTAGCTCATGAATCTGTGGGTTAGTAATTTGGCCTGGCTGACTGGGCCATTCTGGTCTTGGTTACATTCCTTCTCATGTACATACTGCGTGTCACTGTTGGCGGGGGTACTTGCTCCTCTTTCATGAGTCTCATTCTCCAGCAGGCAAGCTCATTTCTGACCAAGGTTCAATGGAAGCTCAGTAAGGTTCTGAGAGAGGGGTGGGGACGCCTGAGGCAGGGGCTTAAATCAGTGTTCCTCCTACCTCAGTCTGTAGGTCAAGCAAGTTCCAAGGCCAGCGCAGAGTCAAGAAGTAGGGGAACAGGAAAGGCACAAGATCTGTGGGCCGAGCATAGACCTGGGGTGTGCAGTGAGGGAGGAGTCTGAGTGACTGGAGACACAAGTGTGGGTGGGGGTGATTTGAAGGTGCGTTGGTTGCACCAAAGGGGAACAGCTTCTTTGGGGCTGCCAGCTGTTGGCAGGGAGGCCCTTAGGTCCTTTCTTGCCTAAAGGAGTCTCTAGCTCCCAGCTTTCTAGCTCTGTCTCTAATCTTCTCAGCCCCAGAAGAGGTATGTCTTCAGCCGGGGCCCTGGACCCCAACACAAGCTTTCACTGCTCAGGAATATAGAGCTGCCCACTCTGACTTTCCCACTATTTCTCAGAAAGTGTCCCCCGACACTGGTGCCCATCTAGGCCCTGGAGTAGCTGCCAGACATGTGAGCATCCTCCTGCACCTCGCTCCTGTCTTCCCCCAGCTGTGACCCTGTCTCCACTTGCCGTCCTTGGCAGTAACCACTTGCCATGGAACATCTTTCAGGAAATGTGGACGTTTAGCTGTCAGTATGTGCGTGGACAGAGGTACCACAAGACCCTGTGGTGTTAGAGGTGGGAAGAGTAGGTGAGGGGGTGCATGAGAACCTCCTGACCTTTGTTGGCCTGTCTTGGGGGTGGTCAGGGTTCCATGGGGACTCCTGATCTAGGTGCCTTTATGAACTCTCATTACCTGCTCCCAGTCCAGATCCTCCTCCATCCTCCTCTTTCCACTCTCTCCCTAGACCTCCTAGGAGATCTGTAGGCACTGGTGGCTGGCCAGGCCTCCAGGCCACATGACAGCAGTGAGCGCCTCTGCTTAGGCCTTTGCTCTGGACCAGGATGGCTCCATCTGGGGTCAGCAGTGGAGCAATGGCAGCAGGAGGCGCAGCCGGGATTCCACCAGGCTTAGGAGGAGACGGAAAGGCACCCCAAGCAGGAGAGGGAAAAGCAGAGCAAATGATAAATAGTGATCGTCAAGCTGGACACTGTTAGAGTGAGGGACCATTTCATGCTTATGCGAGAGCAGATTCAGGGCCATAGGCCAGAGACCAAGGACAGACAGGACCACGGTGTGCCTGCAGCGCTGGGCCTTCAGGCCTGGGAGCCGTGGGCTGGGCGGCGGGGAGACCTGGTTGCAGTGGGGACACTATGAGCTTGGGCAGCGGGCTCTTCTCAGTCCTCTGGCCCCCGAGGGTGTGATTTTAGTACGGCAGCCTTATGGGTGTTTCCCTTTTTGTCTTGTCATCTGTAGGTGTGGCCTCTAGCCCCACACCACCCCGTGGGCCTGTGTCTCCTACTGTCTCCTTCCAGCCTCTGGCCCGTCCCAACCCCAGGGCAAGCCGCTTGCCTGGCCCCCCAGGGTCAGCTCCTCACTCTGGCATCTCTACCCCAGCCACTGGCTTTGCTTCTGTAGGGGCCGCTGGTGACTGCATTGAGACTGCCATCTATTCCAGCGGCCCAGGGGTCTCCATCAACTCTAGGATCACCAGCACTCTGCCTTCCAAGTTGCCCACCAGCACTCTGCCTTCCAAGCTGCCTGTCAACTCTCCAGCCACCAACACCCTGCCTTCCAAGGGGCCCACCAGCTCAAAGCCTCCTGGTACAGTGACCACTAATGTGCCCACCAATCTAACAGCATCTAAATTGCCCATCAACTCAGCTCGTGCTGGCACAGTGCCGCCCAAAGTGCCTACTAGCTTGGCGCCTGACCACAGGATGCCCATGAGCTCAGTGCCTAGCCAGACACCCGCAGACACAGTGCCCACCATCGGGAGCGGCAAAAGGCCAACAGAGGTGAGTCTTCGCCCCGCCTAGCAGTGATCCTGGTCATCTCCTCCTCCCCACACCTCGCCCTCCCCAGCCCTGACTTTGGACTCTTCCCACTCTCTAATCTGGACCTTTTCCTGCAGGAATAGAGACAGCTGAGGGCCAGCCTCACCCATGCCCTCATACCAAGCAGGGCAACTCGGTCCCCTGGTCGTGTGCATTGACCCAGTTAGCCCTGATAGCTCCCTATTTAGCTTAGCGGTATCATTTTGCAGTGGGAGTGGAGCAGGGCAGCCGCCTGCTCTTCACCAGGAAGGACATCCTGCCTGTCCCCCCCAGACCAGGCTTTTCAGAGTGCCCAGTCCCTGCCTGCGCCCTCCCCAGCGCCCCGTGAGCCTGTACAGCTGACCCACCTGCTCTTGTCTCCCTGGAGGAACCCAGTCCGTGGCCATGGTCAGGCCTCTCACCCCATCGGTACTCGATGGCCCTCAGATCCAGAGGCATGTTTGTGTGGGATGGGGTCACGCGCCCCCCAGAGTGAGGGTGAGGTTCCCACTGATACAGTCGCAAGGACTTGGTCCTCTCCTCTCCCCTGCCCTCCTGCACCATCCGTGAGTAGAGCCCTAAGAGAGGGTGGCCTTAGAGGCTGTGTGGACTGGGAATCGGGGGATGGAGGTGCTAGTTCAGGCCCAGGCCTGGGGACGGAATGGGGGGAGGTGTCCCCTGCCGTGCTCTGTCCCTTCAGCCCCTCCTTTCTTTCTTAGGAGACTCCAGCCTCTCCAGGTGCTGTGACTGGAGGCCGCTCGCCCCATCCTGACCGCGGTGCCCCCTGCTGGAGCGCAGACCTGGAGCTGAGCAAGCCTGGCGAGCTGCTCTCCCAGCTGGACAGCCCCTTCTCGGGCTGCTCCGAGGACCTCGCCATTAGCTACAGTCGCTCCGTGGACACAGGACGCAGCAACACTCCAGAGGAGAACGAGTACCAGACCCTGGAGAGCATCAGGATCCGTGTGGAAGAGGAGCCCAGTGCCGACCTGCTAGCCGGCAGCCCCAGGCAGCCAGGGGCCCCGAAGCTCCAGAAGGAGGAGCCACCAGCAGAATCCAAGTCCAAGGACCGCCAGGCCTCCTGGGCTCCGTGGCTCAGCTTCGCCACGGTGGGGGCCCTCCTGGCTGGGCTGCTGGCCGTGCTGTACCGGCGGCGCCTGCTGCAGTGACGCCTCAGAGCCTCCTCACCACGCACGCTCCCTTCCCCTCCATCTGTCCAGCCAGAGACTGGCCGGGCTGTCCTGCTGCTTCGTCCTCTCACTGGGCTGGCAGAGGCTGCGTGAGCGTGGAGCCCAGGGAGGCGGTGCACGGGCCCGACCGAATCCTGAGAGGCAGCTTCCAGCCCCACTGGTGTCCTCCCGCCGGAGGCTTCCTGGACCCTGGGGCACACTCCTGATCGCGCCCCGGGCAGTCCAGTTGTTGCCCTGGTTCTGTGGAGGCCTTGTCCCTGTCTCCTCAGGCCTGGGCAGCAGGCGGTGCCGTGAGAGCCCCCGACCTGGGGCTGGCATGCCTCTCTCCCTGTCCCCCCTCACCCCCACCTGGCGCTGGTGGCTGAGAGCAGACTGCTGGGTGGGGCCCACACAGCTTCCCTCCAGCCTGGGGGGGGCAGCTGGAGGCCCTTTCCCCAGGAATGGGGGTGGCCAGTCTCTGAGGACGCTGCTGCTTAGCGAGAGTGTGTGTGTTTAAGTGTGTAGTATTTCCCTGGGTCCCAGGAAGACCGAGGCAACTGCTAGGTCTGAGGAACCTCTTCCACCTCCTCACCTGCCTCTCCCCTCCTTCCTGGTCTCCATTCTCTTTAGCTCCCTGTAAGGCCGAGGGGGCTCTGTACAGTTTCAGTTTCAGCTCTCCTCTGCTGTGTGTTCTTGGCAGAGCATCGGACTTTTCTCATCTTGCTTCCCCATTCGGGCAGTGATTGGGCTCATCCTTCACTAGGTGCTTCTGAGACTGGAGCGTGCAGCTGTTTGTCAAGTGCCTGACCACTAAGTGCTTCTATCTCTTCCCTGCTCAGCCTGGTGGAAACGAGGGCAGGAGAGGGTGGGCAAACTAGACGCAGCCTGGAAGGGTGTCTCCTCAGGGAATGCAGGGAAGGGTGCACGTCTGCAGTGTAGAGTGGCCCAGGCCTCTGGCTCTCACTAGTTTGTGCTCTTGGCCAAGGTACTAACCTCCTGTGCCTCAGTTTCCCACCTGTAAAATGAGTATGAGTGGTATATATATATATATATATATATATATATATATATATATATCCAAGTACTTTGAGGATTAAACGAGTCTATCTGTATAAACTTTAGCATGTTTTCTGGCATTTACTAAGGGTTGGATTCATGTGGTCATTGTCACTACTCAAAAGTAGAGGGGATAGAACCCTGGGCTACAACTTCAGATTCAGACCTGCGTCCCAATGCCCCTACCCCTGCCTGGCATTTCTCCTTACTTTAGTTTGTGCATAAGAGAAATCTGGGGGTGGGAGGGAACATGTTCATAGGACAAAGGGCAGGGTGGAAGCTGGGTACCCCCTGCAGCCAGATGACTTGTGGACATGCTCAAGGGCTCCTTTGTTTTTAAGATTTATTTACTTGCGCATACAAGAATTGGGGTACAGGGTAAGAGGATTCACTAGAGACAGAGTAGGGAGCAGAATAGGCAGACTGAAGATTAACTTAAACACACTGCTGAGGGGAGCAGCAGGCGGGACAGGAGATGTCTGCTGCGCCATGTGGGTCAGCTCCCTGCTGGGGATGAGTTGTGCGCAGGGGCTGCAGTGAATGCAGATAGCTTCATACTGCTGCGTCTCCAAGGAGGCCCTTAAGGGTTCTTTTTAGTTGCTCATGGCTGGAAATGCCGGCAGAGGAGACTTAAGACTCACTTCTACCTTGCAGCCCTATAAGGGACTGGACTAGAGCCCTGGGGAGGTATCTGGGATGTGGCTTACCCACAAGCTGCCATTCTGTAGGGTTCTCTACCCTGTTTTAGCTGCTACAGCTTTGGCACTGCCTTAGGGGCCTTCAACACCCCAATAATCTCTTCCTCTACTTCTTTCTTCCCCTTTGCCTGGAACCAACAATCTGTATCCTGAAACCAGAAGTCATCCCTGCCCAAATTACCTGCACCATCCCGCATTTTCCTTGCCCTTAACCAGCCCTCTTGTGTTTTCCCTCTAGCAACCCAGATCAAGGAACAATTCCTGCCTGAGGTAGCTTTGGGAAAAAGTATCTTTGTATCCATCAAAGCATGATACTTCAGTGTGGGAATTTTAAGCACCATGAACAGCTGTTGTAGGAGCTACCTCTGGGTGAGGCGTGTGGGGACCCTCCTGCAGGTTTCCAGTCATGCTGCCTGTAAGCACTGACCTGTTTTAACAGGTCCCTGTTTCGAGAGTGATCAACCTGAGGGTCTTTAAAGGGCCAACTTCAACTTTAATCAAGGTTGGGAAGGGGGCCAGTGTATGGAGGTCAGTGGCCTGGGGAGGGCTTGGGGTCATTGGCGGAATGTCAGATCTCAGCGGTCCTGGATTGGGAATGTGACTTTCAGCCACAGGAGGGACTGTGTCAGCGAAAGAGCCAGACAGGTGTCCCTCGTAGCCACGTCCTGGACCACAGAGGCCAGAACCAAAGGAGGAACACAGGACCTGTGTGAGCCCTGCGGTGATTTGGGGAAACACACTTCACCTTAGGGGTCAGGTTGGGGTGAGTAGGGGCCAGTGTCATCCCCATCCTGAGCACTAGAGGCAGGCTCACGGCAGTGCTTGCACATAAATCGCTCTACCTCTGCCTCCTGCTGAAACACTTCCCTGAAAGGGAAATTGCACCACTGCTATCTCTCCCTGGGAATCACTTGCAGACCTGTGAAGCCAGACCAGTGCCATACCCTCAACTCATTCCCCTTGCTGGATACACCCTGCTTTATTAGATTGAGGGGAACTTTTTAGTGAAAAATCAGGAAGATGTCCTTTACCTTGCCAGACCTATTATCCATAGCTTCTTTAAAGTAACTTTTTAAAAAGGTTTATCTATGCATACAGAACTGGCATACAGGCCAGAAGCTGTGAGAGGCTTCACCAGAGACAGAGTGGGGAGCACAACAGGCAGATCAACAAAGTACACTGCTGAGGGGAGCAACGGGCTGGTCAGGAGAGGTCTGCAGCAACATGTGGGTCACCTTTGGGGCAGGCGGGGATCCAACTTATGCTGAAGCAGCTGCGGCCGGCTTTGTAGTGCTGTGCCTTGAACCCGTTGTGCCATTGGGGAGGCCCACCATTACCCACCTTTCATAATTATGAACTCACAGCCAGTCCTATTCACCCTTGACCAATCCCCCCTTTTTTTTGGAGCAGTTCCTTTTGTAAGTCAGAGGGTTGGGGGCTCCAAAGGCCAAGGGTCAGAGTTGGGGGGAGGATTTGTGGTCAAGGCCCTGCTTTCTCCTGAGGCAGCATTAGGTAACTGTGGGACATTCTCCTGTTGGCCTCTGTGGGTGACCTCTCCTCTTGGGCCAGTTAAAAGTATGAACCCCGCTGGGTCCCCATCATGGGAGAGCACTAAAGAGGTTCCTCCATGCGGTGGCTGGCCGCTGCTTCTGCACCAGAGGTGAAGATGGACGGCCCTGTCCGGGCGGGCCTGCCCTGTTGAACTAGGGGCTCCCTCTGGACTCTGACAGAGCCCTTCCAGAAGGCAGAAACTCCCATTCCAGGCCAGACTCAGACTCTGCAACGTGCCTCCTCCTTTTCTAGGAGCCTCCGGGGGATGGCATCTTCTGACCTGGATGCCCTGGCTTTGCGGTAAAGCTCAATCCTGAAGCTGAGGGCCAAGGAACAACCCCGCCTGCAGGGAAAGCACTGTGGAAGGAGTAACTCCATGGCGCACATCACAGGCCCTCCAGTCTCACCTTCCGCGCTTTCAGGTAGCCCAGCTTCAGCTGAGCATAGTCACCCCACCCAGCTCTCTTCCGTCTTGTGGCTGTTACGGCGGAAGACCCCTACCTTGAGTGCCAGGTGCTGGGCTAAGGGCTCGGTAGGCATTCATGCCTTCCATCCTCACAGTGACCTCAGTGACCTTGGGGAAGGGGCACTGTTACAACCAGTTTGTAAGCTAGTGGAATCACCCAAGTGGGCAACTAGAAAGGGAAACTGACCCCAGAGCACTGGAGCTAGAGGCCTCTGTGCCCTTGATCCTCAGCTGACTGGGTGTCTCGAGCCTGGGAGCCCACTTAAAAATGAGGTTTCCCGGCCCTCTCTGGTGGCGCAGAGGGTTAAAGCGCAGCATTGGGACGCTAAAGCCACTTCCGCATGAGTTCGATCCCCGCCTGCCCCAGAGGTGACCACGTGTCGAGGCAGACCTCTCCTGACCCGCCCACTGCTCCCCTCAGCAGTGTACTTCATTGATCTGCCTGTTCTGCTCCCCACTCTGTCTCTGGTGAAGCCTCTCACCCTCCACATTTCTGGCCTGTACCCCAGTTCTGTACGAATAAATAAATCTTAAAAAAAAAAAGTGAGATTTCCCACCAACACCCTCCTCCTCAATGCCTTGAGGCTGTGGTGGGGCACACGCCTCAGGAGCCCCCTCTCGCAGGAGGCCTGTTCGGTTTGGCAGCCCTTGATTTTCAAAGGATTCCCCTGTGCCTGCCTAAAATGAGGAAGATAGCTGCACACGCTCTAGATGTTGGGGATGGCTGGCAAAGTGCGCTGGCAACCAAAGACTTTCATATCATTCTTTCATGTCTTTATACAACAAATATTTATTTGACACCTAGTGGGTGCAGAGCACCGAGAGAGGCCTTGGAGAGACAACAATAAAGCAAAGACACCTCTCGCTGAATCTCCGTCCTCTGTCCACTGTCTCCAGTAGTACAATAGAGAGTGGCCTGAGGGAATTTTCGGGTAGCTGCTCAGGATGGGAGGGGGAGAGACTATATTTTGATCAGACGGTAATTACTAGAACTAAAAATTTCTAGTGACATATCATTACAGGAATGAAATTCAGGAAAACAGCTAATATGGAGAGCCTATAGGGATGAAGTAAAGACTTACAAAGACACCCATCAGCCGGCAGATGGGTGTGTCAAACAGGATGGAGTGTTGATGAGAATACACAGATTATACACAACTTAACCGCTCATGAATTTTTATTTATTTATTTTGTGTAGAACTGGGGTGTAGGCCAGAGGTGCAGGGGATAAGAGGGTTCACCAGAGGCAGAAGCTGAACAGGAGGACACTGCTGAGGGGAGCAGCGGGTGGGACAGGAGAGGTCTGCTGGGCCATGCAGGTCAGCGCCCTGGCCAGGCTCAAACTCAGGCTGTAGCGGTGACAGCTCTGATAGGCCTCCTAGACCAGCAGAGAGACCCCCCTCCCCTAACCTTTTGAGGGAAAGGTGGTAAAAGCCCTGTGGGAAACTGACAGTATCTACTAAAGCTGAACATGTGTAAAACCTATCACACCGTGTCTGGCAACTGGGTGTGGATGCAGCAGAAACAAGATACATGCATGAGTGTTTGAGTGTTTGTCACTGCGCCAGTCTTAGGCCCCAGCTGGGATCAACCCAAATGCCTGTCTGCGGCAGGGTGGATAGATAAAGCCACACAATGAAGAGGATGAATGAAAATACCTCTACAGGAGTCAACATGAATAATTGTCCCTGAAAGGAGATTGAAGAACGAAGTAGGCACAGGCCCAGGGAGGGCTTCTTATGATCCTGTTCATGTAAAGAGAAACAGGCAGAAGTGGCCCCGGGTGTTGAAAGTCAGAGAAGGTTCTTTGGGAGGTGGGGAAGGGCTTCTGGGGACAGCTCTTCCCCCTGCTTTGGGTGTGGCTGCCATAAGTGGTAGATGCTTGTAGGAGAAAATTTAGAATGGGAGGTCAGATCAGATGTCTAATAATTGACCAGGTGTCTAATAATTACCACAGGTGGGGGAGGGGTGGTCACCCAGTCCTTCAACTGGCTAAGGGCTTTCCCGGAATGCGAGGTAGGGGCAGGAAGGATTATCAGTTACAGTAAGCCAAACCAACCTGCCCCCAAAACAATAAAATTCCACTAAGGAATGACTCCCCCAAGGAACACTGTGTAAGACCACCCCTTGCTCTAGCAAAATGCAGAGCTGGCCCCTAAGATGATGCACCCGTGTCTGCACGGGTTTTTCCCCCCACCCCCTTTCCTAATAAACCTTTAAAATGCAGCTTTTGCCTGTCTAATCCAATGTCTTTTTCCTTACTGGGGAAACTGCTGAACTCTTTCTTAGAGGGACGC